TCCCAAAGTGCTGGGATTACAGACGTAAGCCACCCGCTCGCCTTTTTTTTTTTTTTAATAAACAATAGGATGATGAAGAACTCATCCTTTGATGCAGTCATGCTCCTTTCCCTGGTTCTGGGGCGTTCTTTCATCCATTCCTTTGCTGTGTGAACCCCATCAGCGAAGGATGGGGTTCATAGTGCACAAGGCAGGGAGTTATCCAGGACAGAGACCACTGGCATCTGGTGCACATTATTAAAATTACAACAGGAGGCCGGGTGCGGTGGCTCACGCCTGTAATCCCAACACTTTGGGAGGCTGAGGTGGGCGGATCACAAGGTCAGGAGATCGAGACCATCCTGGCTAACACAGTGAAACCCTATCTCTACTAAAAATACAAAAGAAATTAGCTGGGCGTGGTGGTGGGCGCCTGTAGTCCCAGCTACTTGGGAGGCTGAGGCAGGAGAATGGCGTGAACCCGGGAGGCGGAGCTTGCAGTAAGCCGAGATCGCGCCACTGCACTTCAACCTGGGCAACAAAGTGAGACTCCGTCTCAAAATAAATAAGTAAATAAATAAAAGATTACAACAGGAGCCGGGCGCGGTGGCTCACGCCTCTAATCCTAGCACTTTGGGAGGCCAAGGTGGGTGGATTGTCTGAACTCAGGAGTTTGAGACCAGCCTGGGCAATGTGGCGAAACCCTGTCTCTACTGAAAAAACAAAAAATTAGCTGGGCGTGGTGACGTGCACCATAGTCCCAGGTACTCGGGAGGCTGAGGCACGAGAATCACTTGAACCCAGGAGGTGGTGGTTGCAGTGAGCCGAGATTGCACCACTGGACTCCAGCCTGGGTGACAGAGTGAGAATCTGTCTCAAATAAATAAATGAATAAAATAAAATTATAACAGGCAGACGGTCACTGGCCAGGGAACGCCTACGTTGAATAAACAAAGCTGATATGTAAAGAATTCTGAGGTTTGCTTCACAGGTCACCACACACAGCTAGCCTTCTTTTGGGGTCTGGCCTAGCCCTGTGCTTGGGTAAGGACAGAAGGTTCTGGGTGATGCTCCATGAAGGAGAACCCAGCCACTGGTTATTGTCTTTTGTGCAGTGATGCTAATGTCTATTCACTGGTCTCATGGCCTGGCTCTGCTTTGCTGCGCAGCTCTGTCTCCCACTCCGTGCTGTCTGAGATGCAGGTGATCGAGCAGGAAACCCCAGTGAGTGCAAAATCTTCTCGCTCTCAGCTGGACTTGTTTGACGATGTTGGTACTTTCGCCTCTGGACCCCCAAAGTAAGGCTGTTTTCTAGCTGTAAACTTGACTGCTGTGTTCCTCATCAGGCTTCTCTGAGCCACTCTACTGTCTCCTTAGGTACAAGGACAACCCCTTTTCCTTAGGGGAAAGCTTCGGTTCCCGCTGGGATACAGATGCTGCCTGGGGTATGGACAGGGTAGAGGAGAAGGAGCCAGAAGTGACCATCTCAAGCATCCGGCCTATTTCAGAAAGGTAGAGTGGGCTGTTCTTTCTTTTTTTTTTTTTTTTTAAACAAGCTGAAGGTAGAGAAGTCTAAGGCAGCACTGTCTAGAACTTTCTGTGATGATGGAAATGTTCTCTATGTTGTTTAATATGGTAGCCACTACTATGTGGCTATGAGCCCTTAAAATGTGGTTGGTGCAACTGAGCAACTGAATTTCTTATGTAGTTTAATTTTGGATAAATGTAAATAGCCACCAGTGGCTGGCACTGCCTCATTAGACAGTGCAGCAGTCAGGCTTCGGTTTGAGTTCTGCTTTGTCATCACAGAGGGCCTGGCAGCTGCTTTTGCTTGGGGTCCATTTCTCTGGCAGGAGGGGCCTGATTTTATGCTTCAGTCCTGACCTCCTTTCAAGGGTTTTATGTCTCCAGCCCCCTTTATTAAAAACCCTACTCCATCTTAATCTGGGATCTGTTTAGTTGACATAATATCTGTGAGTTATCCCCTGATTAAACGGGAACGTAACTACTTCACAGGGTCTCCGGAAATACCTGGCCCAGTGTCCACATACTCATGGCAAGATGAGAGCAGCCATCTCCCTTTCCACACCAGGATGCTTTTGAGAGTAAAGGGGACAGTTTGCTATTCATGGTTACGACAAGAGTAGGTATAAAGCCAGGCAGACTGACACATATGCTCATTGTAGTACTAGGCATGTTGTCACTAGGATTAGGGTAGCAGCAGTTGTGTGGCCTCCTGAATGCTGACAAAGCTGTGTGCTTTTGGGCAGGAGCCTAGGCCACTGCAGACCGTATTTCCACCCTGCCTAGTGCAGGTTACTAAGCTCTCTGGGCCTTGGCCTCAGTGTGGAGAAGGGTGACTCCTTAACCAGGGGAGAGGGGCCCAGAGTCACAGAGCCACAGACAGAATGGGACCTGGTAACCCATCACCAAAAGGCCATTGGTGCTCTGTTTGTACTCTGCCTCCCCTGATGATAACAGGAGGAGTCTGAGCTGTTCCACATCTTCCCCTCAGGGCCACAAACCGGAGGGAAGTGGAGAGCCGGAGCTCAGGCCTCGAGTCTAGTGAGGCACGTCAGAAATTCGCAGGAGCCAAAGCCATCTCATCTGACATGTTCTTTGGGCGGGAGATGGATGCGGAGGTAAGTGGGGCTGTCTGCCTTGACGTCTGAGGCAGCAGGCAGAAGCATGAGCTTTCTCCCTGCCACTGCTTTGGGCTTTAGCACCAGGAGGGCCTGGCCTGTGTGAGTCCTTGGGTCCTCGGCCCCAGGATCCCCAGGCCTGGCCTTTTCCTCACCACAGTATGAGGCCAGGTCTCGGCTGCAGCAGCTCTCAGGCAGCAATGCCATCAGCTCTTCAGACCTCTTTGGGGACGTGGATGGAGCTCACGGAGCAGGTAGGGCCCTGGTGGGGTGGCAGGCACCAAGCGAGGCCTGGGAGCAGGGCGGGAGGGCCCTGCTGTGACTGGGAAGGGCTTCCTGCTGGACTGTGGGTCACCCTGCCCTTGCTTTTACAGGAAGTGTATCTCTGGGGAACGTGCTGCCTACAGCGGACATTGCCCAGTTTAAGCAGGGTGTCAAGTCTGTGGCTGGGAAAATGGCTGTGCTGGCCAATGGTGTGATGAATTCCTTGCAGGTGAGGCTGAAGTGGGGCCTAGTGAGGAGTGCTGGGAGGTTTGCCCTTCGCCACCACATAGAGACACTGCTACTGCCTAGCTCCTCTGAGCCTTAAGAGCATTTTTGGCCGGGTGCGGTTGCTCACGCCTGTAATCCCAGCACTGGGAGGCTGAGATGGGATCACTTGAGGTCAGGAGTTTGAGACCAGCCTGACCAACATGGCAAAACCCTGTCTCTACTAAAAATACAAAATTAGCTGGGCATGGTGGCGTACACCTGTAATCCCAGCTACTCGGGAGGCTGAGGCAGGAGAATCGCTTCAACCTGGAGGTTGTAGTGAGCTGAGATCACGCCACTGCACTCCAGCCTGGGTGACAAGAGTGAAACTGTGTCTCAAAAAAAAAAAAAACCACACACACACACAAAAACAAGAGTCTAGAGAGAGGCATTTTCTTTTCTTGGAGGGCAGCTTCCTTCCTTTCAGCTCCATACCAGGGCTGGGCCTCTCCGAGATGTCACTGTGTCTGCCATGATCTTCCCTGGCCTTGTCACCTGTACCGGTCTTTCTCTTCTTTTCCCAGCTTCTGCGAGGCCAGGCAGGGCTTCCCCATTGTTGGGTGCCCGAGTGGCCCCTGCCCCAGCTCTCACCGTGGACTCCTGCCTCCCCAGGCTGTCCAGCCCCTGCCTCCCAAGTCTTGCTATGGGGTGCTGGGGCAGGCAGTGTGTTTGCTGGGAAGTTGCTGCAGCTTACAGAGCCTCTGACTTTGTTTTTTTTCTCCTCCCTCGCCCCCAGGATCGCTACGGTTCCTACTGATCCAAGCTCTGTGACTCAGGCTTACGGTGGTGACTGCAACAAGAACTCCACAGTTCCCAGGCTGGGGATGCTTTGCCTTGTGGAAGCTGGGGAGGATTTGTTACTTTGTATGTGTGGTGTGTGTGTGGAGTGGTCTTCGAGGCGCTCACTCATGTGAGGGGAATGGTCAGTACCAGCCTTTGTCCTCTGCCTGTGGACTGAGCCCTTTATTCCCTCTCACACCACCCTCCGTGTGTTAGACTCTTGTCCTTCTGTCCTGCCCCCACAGCTGCTGCTCACTTGTCCTGCCACACTGGGAGATGGGGTTCCCCCAGGATGGCTTATTCTGGGTCCAGCCTTTCCTCAAGTAGGGAAAGTGGAAGGTAGAAGGCTTTTTTGCTGGCTCTAGGGTTCTTCTAGTTCAAGGGCTTGGGTCTCCATCCTCTGGAACCATGGGGAGGCCTGGAAGGAGTTCACTGTAGACCCGTCCCCTGGGGAAAGAGGCTGCGGACTTGCTGCTGCTGCTGCCAGTGGCCTCTTCTGGGTGCCAGGAGAGGGCGAAGGAGGGAAAGGCCCTTTTGGGCATTACCAAGGACAGGAAACTACCTGGTACCTAAAGGTTTCATTTGGGATCAGACTGGAGACCCACGGGTTCTCCCGTCTCACCACCCCTTTGTACAGTAAGCACTTGGAAGATTGTCTCAGGGTCCCTCTGTACCATCTGCTGTGGACCACAGGACCTTCTGCAACATTCTCTGTCCCTTCATCCCCTGGTTGGTGGCCATGGAGGGTCTTGTCTGCTGTGATTTGACTCTGGAGGCTGTGAGCTTGATGCTGGCCAGGGAAGCAGAGGATGTGAGGGGCAGAGGCAGGCTCTTGGGGCTGAGCTCCTTCCTCTGCATCATTCTGGGCTTGGGGGCCTGGACAGCACCCGCCAGTGAGAGCTGCGGGCCTCACCCTCTGGCATCTGAGCCAAGTACTGTGTCATTCTTGGTGCCATCTTCCCCGCCGCACCGGCAGTCTCAGCCCAGCCCCTACCTTTGGGTTGTAGGTTGGGCTCCCAAGCAACACAGACCACTCTTCCCCTTGCCCCTCCCCCAGAGGGACATGACTTTCTTTCTGGACTGTTTGTATTGAAACAAAGTGGTGTCAAAATAAAGCCCCCGCAGGGCCTTGCTCCCTGTTGGTCTGAGTGAAGCAGTGTCCTCTGGATCCTGCCTCCCTGCCCAGTGCCGGACCCTGGCCTCACTCTCGGGGCTCCCACCGGTAATGGTAGGGCGTCGGTACCGAAGCTGAGGACACTCTCTCCAGGGCCTCCTGCTTCTCTCTTCTCTGAAAGCCAAAGGCCCCTGGCTCCTTGGCTCTGTGCTGCCGTGAGGTCCGGTGCAGCTTCGACCTCACCACCCTGTGGCACGCAGAGGAAAGAGCTGGCATTAGTTGACCCTTTAACTCGCTGGCTGAGGGTGAGTGAGCAACCTCAGCAGTCCTGCCCCTTGTCACAGCAGTAGGCTTGACAGGGGATGGGTTTCAGTGGAGCTTAAGAAATATTTAAGGCCAGGCATGGTGGCTCATGCCTGTCATCCCAGCACTTTGGGAGGCTGAGGCGGGTGGATCATTTGAGGCCAGGAGTTTGAAACCAGCCTGGCCAAAATGGTGAGACCCCATTTCTACTAAAAATACAAAAATTAGCCAGGGGTGGTGGTGCGTGCCTGTAATCCTGGCTCCTCAGGAGGCTGAAGCATGAGAGTCGCTTGAACCCAGGAGGCAGAGGTTGCAGTGAGACTGGGTCGCGCCACTGCACTCCAGCCTGGACGACAGAGTGAGACTCTTGTCTCAGAAAAAAAAAAAAAAAAAATTATATATACGCATATATATACATACACACACTCTTAGATGTTAATGGGACCCTTTAAATTCCGAAAGAAAAGATGTGTTTGTATGTAAACCCTTGGCTTGGCCACCCCTTTCTCTTGGGGGCTTCTGAAACATCTCTGTGCCACCTTAGGAGCCCTCACGGTAGTTACAGACCACTGGTCTGTGAAGTGGATGATTAGAAAGGATGGGCAGAGGGAGCCAGGGGGCTCTAAGCCATGGATTTGCAGAGTGTAGGTTCGGGACTCATTCAGCTTTGGGATCATCTGAAATTTCTGGACTCCATCCCAAGCTGGTAGAGTTAGACTCTCTGGAGCTTGGTAATTTGCATTGTCAGTAGGCTTCCCTGTGATTCTGAGGACACCAGGATTTGAGAACCATGTCTCTCATGGGCTGTGGATCATTGTGGGCCTAGAGAGCTCATCACGTGGTCTGAGCATTTTTTTTTTTAAAAGACGGTCTCATTCTGTCACTGGAGTGCAGTGGCACGATCATGGCTCACTGCAGCCTCAACCTCCTGAGCTCAAATGATCCACCTCGGTCTCCCAAGTAGCTGGGACTGCAGGTGCAAGCTACCATGCCTGGCTAAGTTTATTTTGTAGCGATAGGGTCCCACGATGTTTCCCAGGGTGGTCTTGAACTCCTGGGCTCAAGCAGTCAGCCAACTTTGGCCTCCCAAAGTGCTGGGATTACAGGCAATGAGCCGCCGCATCCTGGAGCTGCTTCTGGGTTGGAATGCCCAGTCTTGGCAGGGGTTTGGGAGGCAGTTCCTGTAATTATCCGTTCTGGGTAGCGATGAGCCCAAGGAAATGTGTGTGCCTAGTAGTGGTGACATCCGCCTTCAGAGGAGGCAGTCCTGTTATGCTTGGGCCTCTGGGTGGGTTCTACCCTCTGGGGGACCCTGCCTCCGCAGCCCTCAATCCAAAGAGGTTGAAGACCACTCGTCCTTACCTGCCTCCAGTCTTGGATGGGGTGTGTCTGCCCCAGGCTGTGTCTTTCACAGCTGCATCCCACTGCCCTAACCCCAAGCAGGTGCTTGGCAAATGTTGACTGAAACCCTGACTCGAAGGCTGTGCAGTATTAACCCTTTGTGGCCATGGTCTTTAAAGTTATGGGAACCTGGCCTTGAACCCTCTGAACCTATTTCCTGAAGGCCGTTCCAGCTGTGAGCACCTTTTCCTCTGGAAGGCTGCTCTTGTGCGAAGCTAGGCCCCTCTGCTCATTGTCTGAGGCAGGTCCCCAGGCCTGAGTGGGCCACTGGCCCCTACCTCCTAGTCCTGCCAGAAAAGCACCACAAACCCAAACTCACCCTCTCCCTTCTCCCCTCAGCCTAGGAGCTTTAGACTCACCACTTACCAGACACGAGGGACTTTATTTGTTTCACATGTTTAGCTATTAGACACAAAGGGGTCAAGACTTGAAGCAGTTTTTGCAAGTGAAATCATCTTCTGGCCCACCCTTCTCCATCCTACCAAGGCTACTGGCTGTTCTCCAACAGAAGGCCACAGCGGTTATGTCCTCCTGGTACTTGCGTTGCAGGTGTCACCCTTGATGGTGCAAGGCCCTACGTGGCTATTCGGGTTCTCCCCCTTAATGGAATTGCTGTGAGGAGATGAACCTTATCAGGGGACCAGCAGAGACTGGTTCAGAAGAGACCGCTCTTCTTAAGAGGTTAGGAGGACTAACAGGCTACGGCCAAGTCCCCTTCCTAGTGATATGGTGGCTTCAGCACAGGCTGTCAGCTTGGGGCCTGAGTGAAGTTCGCAGGCTGACAGGACCAGGGAGAGCAGGCCATTCCCTTCCGGGGCCACTGGCTGGGCTGATCATCAGCGCCCCTCTGGCCGCTCTTGGGGCTGTTATTCGCCTTGTCAGCAGCAGAGGGCAGCACAACAAGGTGCTGGAGAGGAGGCTGGGTGGGCACGCCAAGGGCTGGGTGGGAGCAGGTATAGGGCGCTGTGGGCTGGACCCTTCGGACTCCTCAAGTCTCCGATTCGTCTGTCTCTTCAGTGGAGCCATCGCTCTCTCCATCCACTTTTCGGGAATGATGGAGAGGTCTCCAGGGGGAGCCAACCCGGGGAGGGGTCCGGGAAGGCAGGCAACTGGCCTCTGGACTGGCTGTGATCGAGTTGACCAGGCCTGGGACCTGGGCCAGCCTAAAGAAGGGAAGAAGCCTGGAGGGCAGCGAGAGGCCTGCTGTCCAGAGAGCGGGGCCTCCATGCCCACTCTTACACTAGGGTAAACCCCTGGGCTGCAGCCCCCAAAGGACTCAGAGGGAGGGACGTCTCAGGCCTCTGCTGGCCCCCAGACCCTTCCCTGGCAGATGCAGGATGTTACAGACAAGTGGTGTTGGCCCCAGATGGGGCGCAGCCGTGTTCAACCCGTCTGGCCCCCACAAGGGGGCAGCATCCTCCCACTTGACACTTACAGCCGTTCCAGCTCCTCGTCCATTGTTGGGTCGTGCATCAGATCCCCCTTGTCAGGCAAAGCTCCTAGGAGATCATTGGGGGCACAGTAGTTAAAACGAGGGCCCTTCAGCCAGGTGACAGATTCCTCCATGCCCCTTACCTTCACAGCTCCCTGTTCTGCTGACCCTGGGAGGGCTGATCTGAAGATCTGAGGACTGCTAGAGGGGCCAAGAACAGTCAGAGCAGGAAGGCCCTGGCTGCTGCTTGATACATTATTGAATCCCACTGCTTACTTTCCCTGTCTGGGGCAGACACCACAGCCAAGGAGACGTTCCCAGACAAGTGTGGTGATCCCCTTCCAACACTAGGTGGTTGTGACCTGGTGCTGGGAGTTGAGTTCTTCCTTGAGGCCTCAGGTAACTGGGCTGAAAAGGATATGGTCCAGGCTACGCCCAAAGGTCAGACATTACCTAATTTTGCGTCCCCAAATCAGGGTGACCCCAGTTTGGAGACAGATGGTAAAAAAAAAAAAAAAAAAAAATGCTGCCTCTGCTTCTCCAAAGAGGATCCTGGGGCAAGAGGAGAAGGCTGGGTCAGGGCCAGAGTTAACCTGGCATAGGCAGATTGCCAATTTGTCCAAATCTTTTTCAGATGATGCCTCCTGGCCCCTCTTGCCCTAAGTTAGTGTTTTTCAAACTACATCTCACAGAACCCTCTCATTTGGGGGGTGCCCTGGGGACTAAGGGAACAGGGCTGACCTCCATGACGCGGCAAGCAGTATATCTCCAGATTTCTATTTTATACACTGGAGATGCAGGTGAGGCCCGAGACCACTTGCTTGTTTCTGTCTCCCATTCCACCCAACCACCCAACATTAGCGTGCAGTAAAAGTGGTTGAATGATAGTGACTTTTTTTTTTTTTGAGACAGTCTTCCTTTGTCACCCAGGTTGGAGTGCAGTGATCATGGCTCACTGCAGCCTCGACCTCCCATGCTGAAGCGATCTTCTCACCTCAGCCTCCTGAGTAGCTGAGACCAATGGTACATGCCACCACACCCAGCTAATTTTTTTTTTTTTTTAAAGAGACAGGGTTCTCCTTATATTGCTGAGACTGGTCGTTAACTCCTGGGCTCAAGGATTCTCTTGCCTTAGCCTCCCAAAATGCTGGGATTACAGGTGGAGCCACCACGTCTGGCTATTAGTGTTATTTATTTACTTATTTATTTATTTGATGGAGTTTCGCTCTTGTTCCCCAGGCTGGAGTGCAATGGCGTGATCTTGGCTCACCACAACCTCTCCCTCTCCCTCCTGGGTTCAAATGATTCTCCTGCCTCAGCCTCCCCAGTAGTAGGAATTACAGGCACGCGCCACCACAACCGGCTAATTTTGTATTTTCAGTAGAGACGGGGTTTCTCCATGTTGGCCAGGCTGGTCTTGAACTCCCGACCTCAGGTGATCCACCCACCTCGGCCTCCCAAAGTGCTGGGATTACAGGCATGAGCCACCGCACCCGGCCAGTGTCCTTTTTAAAGGCCCTTAGAAAAGGGGGATGAGGTTAGTCCAGGCTGTGACCCAGTTGCTAATTGGCTTTTCTTTCTCCTTCCTAGTTCCTGCTGTTGGTGGGAAGGAAGGGTGGTCATAACTAGGAGTATGAAAAAATAGCAGGGCAGATCCCACCCGCCTCCCCCTTACTCTTGATTCCTGATTTTTCCCTGTTTTTTTTTTTTTCTTTTTTGAGACTGTCTTGCTCTGTCGCCCAGGGTGGCATGCGATGGCGTCATCTCGGCTCACTGCAACCTCTGCCTTCTGGGCTCAACCGATTCTCATGCCTCAGCCTCCCAAGTAGGTGGGATTACAGGCGTGTGCCACCATGCCCAGCTAATTTTTGTATTTTTAGTAGAGACGGGGGTTTCACCATGTTGGTCAGGCTGGTCTCGAACTCCTGACCTCAGGTGATCCACCTGCCTCAGCCTCCCAAAGTGCTGGGATTACAGGCGTGAGGCACCACACCCAACCTGTCAATTGCCTCCTTTCTAGTCCTAGTTCAGCGGGTAACCTCAGCTACCAACTTCAGTTAGTTGAGGGCTCCCCAGACTGTGCAAGCCCCAAGCACTGACTCAGAATAACCAGGCTGCAGGTGGCATGCAGTTCAGCCTGCTAGGGTTTGTGCTTGTGCATCCCAGAGCATCCCCGGCTAACTGTATATTGTGTAAGATAAGAAATATAAAGCATGCAGCATAGTACTTAGCCTGCTGTGGTTGGCATTTAGTGAATGTTAACTTTCCTTCCCTTAATCTCATTCCCTCAACTAGCAAAAGGAAGTGGGGGGAATGCTGTGTGTCTTTTCCTTGAGACTCAGGCACTTGGGATCCCAAGCACAGCAGGAGGATCTCTTGAGACACAAAAAAGAACCCCTTGCTGGGCGCGGTGGCTCACAACTGTAATCCCAGCACTTTGGGAGAGCAAGGTGAGGAGATCTCTTGAGCCCAGGAGTTTGAAACCAGCTTGGGCAACATGGCGAAACCCAGTCTGTACAAAAAACACAAACATCGTCCAAGATGGTGGCTCATGCCTGTAGTCCCAGCTACTAGGAAGGCTGAGGTGAGAGCATCACTTGAGCCCGGGAGGTCGAGGCTGCAGTGAGCTGAGATTGCAACACAGCACTCCAGCCTGGGCAACAGAGTGAGACTCTGTCTCAAAAACAAAAACAAAACCCCTTAAACTCTAGTAGAATGGAGGTTTACTGGCTCTTCCCTTAGGAGAGCAGTGGCTGTGGGAGGGGGAACAGTGGGGTGGGTAGAGAAGGCTCAGTGAAAAACCAGCAAGCAGGGAGAACTGGACCACTGCAGGCTCCCCCACTTTTGTTTTTCTCCCTTTCAGATTAATCAGATTTTTTTTTCAGCTTGGAATAAAGGTCTCCCCGGACACACCTTTGCCCTGTTTATAAATGGGATTCAGGTCTCTTTGATATATAATCTCAAGCACCACTGAGTAAATAGTCCTGTGTCTGCCCAACCTGCAGGCCGCTCCCCAAAGCACAGCTGGGGATTCTCTGAGGAGGGGCTGGGCGCGCCTCTGCTGTGGGGAGACGGCTTCATGTTGGGGCAGGGCCGCAGGCAGGGAAGGCTGTCCTCTACCATGGGAATGTGTAAGAGCCATGTTTTGTCGCGCATGTTCCTGCTCCCTGGGACTGAGTCTGGCCGTGGGAAGTCAAGGCAGAGATGGTGATGCCCCTTCCCCATGGAGCCGTGTTGCCAACAGAGGCCAGCTGCTCCCTGTGTTGTGCGGCAGGAGAGGCTGATGGCTGCTAGCTCTGACTTACCGAGGGCTTGGTTGATTCCATGGTGCTTTGAGAGAGCCATGAGGAACCCATAGAAGGTCAGTCTCTGAACGTTGCTGAGGGCCTCTTTGACAAGTGCTGGGGGTGGGCAGCTAAGAAGGAGAGACGCCACATTCAGAGCCTAGCCAGCCTCAGAGACATCTCTGCATCCATACTTTCAAGTTCACGAGGATACCCACAGCCAAGCCAGGGACCTGCCTTGGGAGCCCCAAGGCCCTGGGGGATCCAGCCCTTCACTGTGGTCAGGAGGGGCTGGCATGTTCACTAACTGGTGCTTTCACCGGAGTGGGGAGCGGCGGTGGGAAATGGCTAGGGAAACCAAATCCGTTGCTCGGTCCCTAAGGATACTTGTGCCACACAGGACAGCTTACCCCTCTCTTTGTGTAGAAAAGTTTTATACAAGGAGTACTCTTTCCTTCTCTCTAAAATGTTAAAGCCAGTCTGTCAGCCAGTAAATTGGTCATCTACAGTGGTCTTGCCCAAGGGAAAGCGGTCCTTTTGAAGTGAGCCATCTGGGAGCCTTTCAGTCAACAACTGGTTTGGGGGCAAATGGCACTGTTACATTATGACCAGCAAGGGTCCTAGAATCCCTGGGCCTGGCAGAACATCCTGCAGAGCTCTGCTCCACAGCCAGCAGTCTGAGCTCCCTGGGGTTGGGGGGCTGGGGGGCTGGGGGCTGCATGCCCATTCCTCACCTGTACTTGTGCCGATCACACAGGTTTTCCAGACACTGGTAGAACAGCGACGCCTCCACGCCCTCCAGCATGCCGGCCTCGCCCAAGGCAGGTCGTTGGCGGTGCTGCCCACTGGATGACGTCGGCACGATCACTGTGTTGGGGTTCTTGCCCGACAGCAGATCCTCATAGATGGCAGCCACACTGTCCAGGAATTCTGGAACCGTGGGGCGGGGGTGGGGGTGGACAGCTCAGGCAGGGAGGACATGTTTTGTCTCTTCACTATGTTCTCCCTTCTCTGTCAGCCCAGTTCCACACCAGCCTCAGTGCTCAGGGCATGGTATCCTGAGAGCAGAAGTTGTCAACCTTGTTTGCCAGCACAGTGATGAGAGATGACACTAATCTGTGTTTTCGCTCAAATGTCCCATCCCTCAGTTGTTCCTGGACTAGGTGAGACCTGCCATTGCACACTTTCATAGCACCCTAGGCTTTTTTTCTGGCACTTAGCCAGTGAGGAGCTTTCTGTGTCATTAATTGTCTGTCTCCTTGCTGGAATGCACAAAGGCAGGGGTCATGCCTGGTTGGCCTGTCCTGCCTAGCACTGTGCTTGGCACACATTAAGGCCATAAATATTTTTTGGAGGAGTGAACATGAGTATGCTCCCACTGGTAAGCCTCATCTTGTGTGGCCACCTGCCTCTCTACCTCAAGAAAGCGTGTTGGAATACCAGCGAGGAACAGAGAAAGCCCGCAAGCTGCTGCTGAGTCAGTCATTTGAAATGGTTTTCAAAGTTGTAGTTGAGCCATTGTTAGAACTGCTGACTTATTGGCCCATCTCATCTCTAACACACACTGCTGGGCAGTGTCAGTAATGCTCCTGGCCCAATGTGGTAGCTGTCCCATCCCTCTGGGGGTGCTGTGAGAAGAGGGCTGGGGAGGCATTGAGGGGAAAATGTTCTCCCAGACATGGCTGCTCCTTCTCTAGGGCCCAAGAGCTTCGGAGAAATGGGAAATGACTCCCATTTCTTGCCACCTGCTAAGAGCAGGTGGCAAGACCCCAGGCTCCAGCCCCTGCCTGCACAGCCCTTGGGCTGCCATGAAGTAAACAGAATGTGGCGCCCAAGTGAGGCTAGGGCTAGCTGGGGACACCAGTTGGCAGGAAGGCCACCTCTAGGATCTAAGGACAGCCTTCTATTTACTGGAAGAGCCTGTTTTAAGCAAGTTTGTTTATGAACACAGTCAGCAATTTATAAACCCAGCACTCCATTTGATATCTCTGTGTGTGAGCTGGTGTATAGTTGTATTTATTTGTCTATATTTATTCCATCTGATTCCAGAGAGACTTAAGGGTGCAGCTGGCTGAACTGGGGAGCAGAGTGGGAGTGTGACAAAAGACTGGTGTGTACTTTTTTAAAGCTGTGGGGTGGAGGAGAATGTGCACGCAAACACACGATCGGTTGCCAAAGGAGAGACCCTTGAAGGCAGTAAAATAGCAGCGAGGTTGGGAACACTGGCTCTGGAGTCAGCCTCCAGGTCTGGTTTCCACCGCTTATGAGCTGCATGACTGGCTACTTACTTCTGTGAGCTTGTCTCTGAAAGGACCCTCTCTCAAGGCTGTTGTCAAGATTAAAGTCAGTGCTGTGCCTGCGACAGTAAGTTTTCAGTAAGCAGTGAATGCTGTGGGTGTTGTTATGTCATCATCACTTAAACTGATTTGTTGCGTTGCTGACTGAAAGCACTGTGGTTTTCAGTGTCTTCAGGAGGCTGAGGAAGTCAGCTCTGCAGACGGAATCTTGTGACCACCACTGAACGCTAGACATCCTGTTAGTGACCCGCAATGAAGCACACCCCCAAAGGAGGTGGGGAAGAGAAACGTGTGCCACACACAGATGGGCAGGGCAGCAGGGCGGGACAAGGAGGCAGGGTCCTGTGCGGAGCCAGATGGAGCCCGGGAACACTCACCTGAGTAGTAAAACTGGATCTGGAAGGCAAAGAGGAAATCTGAAAAAGACATCAAGCAGTCCATGGCATCGTCCATGAGCACAATCCTGAAGGAGAAAGAGAGAATCTGAGAGAGAGAACTGCGGGAGGTTTAAGGAGGGGCGGGGCAGGTTTAAGGAGGGGAGGGAGAGAGGGGGAGGGAGGAAGGGAAAAGTGCGGGGGGGAAAGGGAGAGAGAGAGAGCTGTTCCTGGGCCGCCAGTCTCCCCTGGGGCAGCAGGACTTTTAGGAGAGGGCTCCCAAAAGCAAGCTCCTCCCAGTCACCTCACCGCTCCATCAACTGGACTCTGCCATCAAACTGAACTGACCACACTATACCCAGAGTGGGCTCCCGGTTCAGTCTCAGTGGCACCAGCTAGCGGATGGAGCATGGGCAGGGGGTGGCGAGGAGAGGGTGCAACTGTAATGCAGCCAAGGTTTCTTTTCATATACTTAAGCAGTAAATCCTTTCATTCTGCTGTGAGGACCATTTAGTTCAGAATAAATACAGCTGATCAGAAAAGGCAAAAAGAACAGCCAAGGGGGTTAAAGGGTCTTGGCAAGTGGTACTGAGATTTAATAAACTACCAAAGGGCCAGAACAGCGACAGACACCTCCACCCTGAGACACAGATGGCAGACAAGGGGAGAGGGCAAAGAGCTATTCGGGAATCTGCACTTGTGAGGGTCAAAACCCACACTCATCTTGTGCTGCCGCCCTGCTCCTCCTTGCTGTCCACATTCACAGGTTGCCCACCCCACAGTTTTCCTGTCTCTAGTCCCTCCCACTGAGGACCCACCTCACAGGAAGAAAACCATCTGACTCGTAAAGGGATTAGACCAAGGCTATGTTCGTCCTCTGCTCAGCGCCTCATCTGAGCCGGGACAAGAAGAGAAGGAAATGAGCGCTTGCTGGGCTCTATCACATGCCAGGCAGGCGCCAAGCCATCCACTGGGGTGTGGCGGGCCCCCAGTCTGTTTCTGATCAGGCCCTTCTGGCTTTATCTTTCTTTCTTTTTTTTTTTTTTTTTTTTTGAGACGGAGTCTCGCTCTGTCGCCCAGGCTGGAGTGCAGTGGCCGGATCTCAGCTCACTGCAAGCTCCGCCTCCTGGGTTTACGCCATTCTCCTGCCTCAGCCTCCCGAGTAGCTGGGACTACAGGTGCCCGCCACCTCGCCCGGCTAGTTTTTTGTATTTTTTTTAGTAGAGACGGGGTTTCACCGTGTTAGCCAGGATGGTCTCAATCTCCTGACCTCGTGATCCGCCCGTCTCGGCCTCCCAAAGTGCTGGGATTACAGGCTTGAGCCACCACGCCCGGCCTCTTTCTTTCTTTTTTTTTTTAATTGTTTTTGGCCGGGTGCGGTGGCTCATGCCTGTAATCCTAGCACTTTGGGAGGTCGAGGTGGGTGAATCATCTGAAGTCAGGAGTGTAAGACCAGCCTGGCCAACATGGTGAAACCCCACTTCTACTAAAAATACAAAAATTAGCTGGGCGTGGCGGCACGTGCCTGTAGCCCCAGCTACTCGGGAGGCTGAGGCAGGAGAAGTGCTTGAATCTGGGAGGCAGAGGTTGCAGTGAGCCGAGATTGCACCACTGCAGTCCAGCTCGGGAGACAGAGACCCTGTCAAGAAGAAAAAAAAAAAAAATTGTTTTCTTTTGCTCTCTCTTATATTTCTCTAAATCTCTCTCCACTTCCCTGAGTCAGAGGTTCCCTAGACTGGCAACTGGATCAGCCCCAGAGAAAGCCAGGATTGCTCACTGCTGGGGAAGGGGCTCCACAGAGACTGCGATATTGTGGTGCCACTCCCCTTGCTGCCATCTCTCTGAAGAGAGACAGCGGTTCCTGCCTAGTCTTTATTGTAATACGGATAACAATAGAAGCAGGTACCATTTCCTGAGTTTTTAATTGTTTTTAAACCCTACGTACCACATGGCAGGCTATTGAAGTATGTAACTGCATTCGTTAAATTTTAGCCCACAACAATCCTACAGGTGGGTCTTGTATTTCCATTCTACACGTGAAGAGTCTGAGGCTCAGAGGTCAGCCTGCCAAAGTCACACACACAGCTGGGGAGCTTGCTGGACTCCACAGGCCACGCATCTTCCATGAGGCCACACTACCTCTTTGAAAATAAAGCTACAGAGCAAAAACACTAACATTTTACCTCCTAGTTTCTGTGGCTGATTTATTTTCTTTCTTGTTACTGATATGTTAGGCATCTCCTGGGGAGAACGACAGCTGCCTCCACCACCAGAGTTTAACACTAGAATTCCAGCTGGAAAAAATTCAAGACTGGAGGGCGGGAAGGAGCAGTGCTGCTGAGGGCCACAAGAGAGTGCCCTGGTCCCTCCATCAGTAGTTCACGGGACTAAGTGCACTGCCAAAGGCCAAGTGGTTACCCCATCTTTCATAACCCAAGGAAAACCCAGGCAGCAAAACCGCTCCTTCCCCACCCAGATGGCAGAATCTGTTTTGACAACTGGATTGCGGGAGCAGGGAGACGGCAGAGGGCGGGCAGTTAGAGAGGACTGGCGTTAGCAAAGACCCCCAAACTGCAGAGGAAGAGTGAGCTCTCCCAGGAGCGCTCAGGGAGTAAGAGCCACCGGCACCTCAAAGCTTTTCCTTGGCAGGCTCAGCAGGGCAGACAAAGGCTCTGGACATGAGAAGTCACTGACTTTCCCTTGCTGCCCTGCTCTCAGGACAGCTGGAGCCCCAACAGTCTAAAGTGAATTACAACAGAACAGCACTGGGCTGTGAATATCCCCAAGCAGGAAACCACCAAGGAGCCCAAGCCTGTCCCCATGTTCCATGGCTTCCATTGATCATCAATTGGAACACAGTGCTCCCATAGCAGCAACTTCCACTTACTATTTATTTACATTGCGATATAATGAAGCACCATAAAAGTCACCCTTTAAAAGTGTACAATTCAGTTTTTTAGTATATTCACATAGTAGCATCACTGTCACCACTGTCTAATTGCAGAAGTTACCTCCATTTGCAATTCTCACCAATAGGCCCATTCCGGAGCCTGCCTCGGAGCAGAAGCTTGAGCTCATACTTCCCAAAGGGCTTCACAGCCTCGTGGAAGCCTTAATGCTGAGTGCCATGAGCATCTTCCTCTTTCAGCCACAGATGGGACTAGAAGCTGTAAACAGGGCACACCCTTCCAGCCTCAGAAGTGGTCTGCAGCTTTCTGCTAGGGGCCATCTTGACCTCGAACATCAGCAGTCCCTTTGGAGATGGGCTGTTGCAGAAGAGGGGGTGCACACCATGGGAGGGCAGGGGCGTCTGTTGGAGCAGGGCAGCCCTGCAGGTGCCCTGTAATACGGGTAACAATAGAGGCAGATACCTTTTTGTTGTTAATCTTGCTCTGTTGCCCAGGCTAGAGTGCAGTGGTGCAGATTGGCTCACTGCAACCTCCGCCTCCTAGGTTCAGGTGATTCTTCTGCCTCAGCCTCCCTAGCAGCTGGGATTACAGGTGCCTGTCACCATGCGTGGCTAATTTTTGTATTTTTAGTAGAGACGGGGTTTCATCATGTTGGCCAGGCTGGTCTCGAACTCCTGACCTCAAGTGATCTGCCCGTAGAGGCAGGTACCTTTCCTGAGTACCCTACCTCATGGCAGGCTATTAAGGCATTTGACTACATTAATTAAATTTTATCCTACAGCAGTCCTATGGGTGGGTCTTATTGTTATTTCCATTCTACAGGTGAAGAGTCTGAGGCTCAGAGACTGGGCAGCTGAAACATGCCGAGCAGGAGGAAGTAGGGGGTGAGTGAAGGGGGGGCAGACAGAGGTGAGGGCTTTCTTTCTGAGGGACATGTGGCTGGATCATAGCAGCACATGTATAAAGGACTGAGGGTTTTTTTTATTGCAAGTAGTAAGACTGGCTACCTTTTAAAAAGCCAACTGGATCTGAGCTTGTGTTAACAGCAACACCGGCTGTGACTCTCCTCAACCAGAAACGTGGGGCATCCTAGACATCTTGGAAACTCCCCCCACCCCACCCCAAGCCAATCAACCATTCACCAACTCCTATCAATGCTAGTGCTGAAATTTCTCTTGAATCCATCTACTTTCCACATCCACAGCCACCATCCTATCCCCAGCCTCCCCCTCTCTTTTCTTGATGATGGCATGACCTCCTACCCAGTTTCCCTGCAACTACTCTTGCTTGCCTTTTTTTTTTGAGACGGAGTCTCACTCTGTCACCAGGCTGAAGTGCAGTGGCTCGATCTAGGCTCACTGCAACCTCCGCCTCCTGGGTTCAAGCGATCCTCCTGCCTCAGCCTCCCAAGTAGCTGGGACTACAGGCACGCGCCACCATGTCCAGCTAAGTTTTGTATTTTAGTAGAGATGGGGTTTCACCATGTTGGCCAGGATGGTCTTGATCTCTTGACCTCATGATCTGCCCACCTGGGCCTCCCAAAGTGTTGGGATTACAGGTGTGAGCCTTCTTCTAATTGAGTATCCATATTGTGGTCAGAAAGATTTTCCTAAAATGTGAATGTGACCATTTTACTATCGTGTTGGAAACCCTTCACAGAGGCTGGGCACAGTGGCTTATGCCTGTAATCCCAGCTACTCGAGAGGCTGAGGCTGGAGAATCACTTGAACTTGGGAGGTGGCCATGTCAGTGAGCCAACATTGCGCCACTGAACTCCAGCCTGGATGACAGAGCGAGACTCCGTGTTAATAACAACAACAACAACAAAAACAAACAAACAAAAAAAACCTTCACAGTCTTCCCATTGCCCTTAGGACATGGTCCCCCATTTGGATCTGGCCTGTGAGCCCGCTCCATCTGCCCCCTGCCTCCCTTGACTCCCCCACTGCATTCTGGCCACACTAGTCTTTCTGTCCTCCCTGAAGCTGTCCTTACTCATGTCCTCCAGACAAGTCTGTCCCTCTAGCCATAATGCTCCCTGCCCTCCATGCCTCCTCCTCACCTACCAGATATCTCCATATTCTTCAGGCTGAAGCCTCCACAGCACCTCTTGGGGAAGATGAAAGAGGAAAGCACTTTTTCTAACCCAGCCTAGAATAGGCCCCCTGCTACTGGTTTCT